GAAGAAGCTTCTTGGATTAGAAGTGCAACATCTTCAAAAAGTCCAGTTGCTTTAACAAAAACACCTTTGGGACAAACATGACCTGGATTTTGGCAGTTGGAATAGAGTTATTTTGAGGTGGGGAGGGGGAGTAGAACTCCTTAGCATTAATTACTGTATACAAAATACTGTACTAATGATCTGATTGTCATTTTAAAAAATCCTTTCTTAGAGAGCACCTAGAAGCCAAGAGGAACATATATGCCAAATTTCAAGTTTGTAGGCTTAACGATTCTGTAGATTTCATTATGAATGAGTGATACTTGGCTTTTATATATATAGGTTTTGGGAATGCAGACCTCCAACTATAAAACAGGTTATTGAATCAGAAAGTAGGCAGTGATTTGATGAAAATCCTACTTTGCATGTAATACATTTGAGGACTGGTGAGGTAGGTCCAAGAAGGAGTGGGATTGGAACCCAAGAGGAAATGAGAGCAGATAACAGTGATTTTTGTTCAGTTCTATACTCAGGTTTACTTGTTTTAGAAAAGCTATGGTGTAATCATACAAACCTGCTTTGACTGCTGAAATCCCAGCTCCAATATCCAGCATCCATTGATGGATCGGGAGGGTTGCTGACCTAATTAGAGAGGAGCTGTTTTTTGATAGACCATGGTCAGCCATTTCTTCTGAAAACGGAAACAGAAATGTGGAAATAAATAAATGTTCATGGCTCAGGTCATCTTTTCTCTCTTCTTCTTTTTTTTAGAAGGTGCCCTTTGCCAGGTGTGGCAGGAAGAGGTGCTATGCAGGAGAGAAGAGGAGTGTCCCAGAGGGTGAACAGGTTGGCTGTTACCAATGTGACCCTTGTCCAGAAGGGACCATTTCTAATCAGACAGTTAATACATACTTCAAATGTTGATCTTGGAAAATGTAGAGAGCTACATACCAAATTATGCTTAGACTGACCATTATGAAAACTTCTTGCCTGAACTTGAATGGTGATATGGAGTGGCCAATGAGATATATTTCAGGGAGGGAAGAGTTGAACGTAAGGGTTTTGGTGCACTATTCAAAGTTCTGGCTTAATGTTACTGCAATACTAATGACTTCTAATAAAACTACACTTTGCAAACGATGGAGCCAAGAAACATTTCTATTTAGAGGTTAAAGTTCTGCAGGCTTGATAATGCTCATTGTGAATGCCCCTGAAATACTTCTTCATTTCAGATGCAGCTCACTGTGACCCCTGCCCAGAAGACCAATATTCCAACAAGGACAAGGACCAATGCATTGCCAAGAAGATCCACTTCCTTGCCTTGGGATACACTTTAGCATCTCTCACACTTTTTCTCTTTGATCACAATGGCAGTTCTGGCAATTTTCCTTAAGCATCGTGACACACCTATCATCAAAGCCAACAATNCATTCATTCATTCAATTTCTATATCTGCTGAATTCAAAAAAGAGAGGTTTACTGTAACCAGTAATAGTGCCTGATAAGGCATCATTTAATGAACATGTTCCTCCTTCTTTTTCATATTTTAAAAATGTCATCAGACAGTAAACATGTCAACAAGATAAATATGAATATTTCCCATTAACTAAAGATTTTTGTTTCTTATCATATTTTCCCTACAATTCAAATCGGGCCTCAGTAGGATAATGTAGCATTTTGGAAAAAAGACACAAGACAAGAGAGCAGCTCCAGAGGCCAAAATGGAGAAGATCTCCACGGCCACCATAGATTTCCCTTTGGTACTCAGGTAGGTGGGGAGGAAGGTGATCCAAACACTGCAAAAGATTAGCATGCTAAAAGTAATGAACTTGGCTTCATTAAAGCTGTCAGGCAATTTCCTAGCTTGAAATGCCACTGTGAAACTGACAACGGCCAAAAAAGCTAGATAGGCAAGAACAGCATAAAACATTGAAGCTGAGCCTTCATTACATTCCAATATGGTCTTTCCTACCAAGGAGTGGAAGTCCAAGTTGGGAAATGGGGGAGATATTGCCAACCACGTGGCACAAAGAACTGCTTGGATCAGGGGACAGCCTAAGACAATGGAGTTGGTCAGTGGTTTCCCTAAGAATTTCGTTGCCCTGTTCCCAGGCTTGGTAGCCATGAAAGCCAGAACCACCATGACAGCTTTTGCCAACACAGAGCAAACTGAAAGGGAAAAGAGAATGGCAAAGGCAGTTTGTTGTAAGAAACAGGTGAAGTTCCCAGGTTGACCAATGAAGAGGAAGGAGCAGAGGAAGCAGAGCAGGAGGGAGACCAGGAGGATGTACGTGAGACCTTGGTTGTTGGCCTTGATGATTGGTGTGTCACGATGGTTATGGAAAATTGCTAGGACTGCCAATGTGATAAAAGAGAGAGAAAGAATAAGAGATGCTAATGTGTATCCCAGGGTGTCTTCATAGGAGAGGAAATGGATCTTCTTGGCTATGCATTGGTCCTTGTCCTTGTTGGGATATTGGTCTTCTGGGTAGGGATCACAGTGAGATGCATCTGAAATGAAGAATCTTTGTCTAAATATTTCAGTATCAATCATAGTAAGAATTATATCTCCTGCCCAGGGTTCCGTCAGGCACTACTGGAGGTTCGCTCATGTGCACGCCAAGCCTGATGTGCGATGTGTGCACATGTGCAATAAAATTATAATTGTTCTGCCTATGTAAAGAACTACAAAACAAGATGAACCAGTATAGGGGTCTGGGAGGCCTGAGTCACTGCCAGTTCCAGTGACCTAGGCCACCAAACCACTACCAGTTTGGCTGAACCAGTCCAAACAGGTAGAAACCCACCACTGCTTCTGCCTCATATATCAGGTATGACTCCTATCCACATTGATCAATTTAATAAGAAAGAGATGGAAGAACTCCCTAGAAACCCCTTGGTGCTCTGTAAAAATCAAAATATCTTTGGTTCAAAATGAGCCTTGAGGATCAGTTGCTCAGAGATTGAGCTCTCTGCCTCTGTAATCACCAGGCATCTGTACAAAATTTTGCATTTTTGTTCGAGCGGGAGAGAAGAGTTGGCACCTGAATTATTTTCACTTTGTATTGGAAGTCTAAGAAGATTGTCCACTCTCTCAATCAGGAATCAGGAATCCTGCTCTTTGCTGCTTAGTTTCATCACCATTTGGAGTTATGAAATCATAAGGTGACATACAAATGCACACCAACTCACACACATGTGTAATGGGATCTGGGGGAGTCAATTTCTGGGTTTGAAACCAGCATCTCCCATCATTCAATCAGAGCTTTTGTTGTCGAGAGAGCCTAACTTCAATCCATGGTAGATTGGTTGATTTCTCTGATATGCCTATAATTTTCAAGGGAGATAATATTGACACAAGCAGCACACTAAGAGTAAATCAAAGTTTGAACACCAAACCAAGCTGTATCATTCATTTAGGAAAATGATCAATAGTTGGTTTTCCCATTGGGATGAAATAAGAGGAATGAAAACGACAGCAAAAAATCTGCAAATGTTTGTCTTGAATGCACCTTGTGGTATATTTGGTGAGGAGATCAATTTGCCAATCCTAGTTTCTCAGAGATGGGAAATTAGACTGGTGGGGAGACGGGTGTCACAACAACTTGTTTCTGTATTGTAAAGCATGTCAATCCTACCACAAATCATAAAAAAGTCTCTTAATATTTTAATATATTGAATGGCTTCCTTGATCCTGGAAGATCTCCATTTGAAGGTTTGCTCTACCTGTCTGATTAGAAACGGTGCCTTCTGGACAAGGGTCACATTTATCACAAATAGCATCCTCAAACAAATAATACTCCAAGGCTAGAAGTTCCTCAAAGTTGCAATTTATTAAAAGAGCCATGTTGGCACATCTGGGGAAACTTGGATATGAAAGCTGTTTTCCCCACTGGAAAGTTCAAGATCCTGCCCCAACACCCACAAGTTCATCACCATCTTCCACTGCCATGAAGACAGATTCCTCCCATCCAGATCTGGCCAGGTGTAGAGACAAAGATGACCTTGATTTCCTAAGAAGAATGTTATTATGGCTACATATCACCCAACTCCATATAACCCCACCTCCCATTTTCCCACAATAGAAAGTGTGGCAGGCCTAAAGTCCCCCCCCCCCCAAAAAAAAGAGATGGCTTTCAGGCATGGCAAATACCCAACTTTACTTTGACTCTCAAGGGCATCTGCTCTATGGATTAACAACAAAAGACACAAACATGTATTTCCCCTTCTGGTTTGCAGACAAAATCTAGTGCTAAATGTATAGGGCAATAGCTTTTCATTGCAATTATCTGGAGAACTATAATTCATAGTGAATCCCCTGTGGGTTTCTACAGACACATTTTCAAAGATAAAACCTGCTTTCAAATAATGTGTTCTGATGTCTCCCAGTGGAGGCAGGACATGTCGCTGACCTTGTCTTGAAAAGAACAGCTCCTGGTTTTGGTGAGACTCAGCTTTAATTTTCTCTTTGGTCATAGATGAGAAATAGATAAGAAGTATCATGGTTGATAGGAATTTGGTCTGGGGCTATCCAGGTGGTACAACCTCTCTCTAAGATGCTAAAGCTCTGGTGGGATTTCAAATGGTACCTGCAACTGAGCTTCTGCACAAACCTTGACTTCTGCTCTAGGAGGGAAGATGGCATAGAACATAGAATAACAGAGTTGGTTTTCTAGTCCAACTTCCTGCTCAAGCAGGAGATCTTATATCATTTCAGACAAATGGCTGTCCAGTCTCTTTTTGGAAGCCTCCAGTGATGTCTGAAGGCAAGCTGTTCCATTGGTTGATTGCTCTCACCTTTAGGAAATTTCTCCTTAATTCTAGGTTGCTTCTCATCTTGATTAGTTTCTATCCATTGCTTCTCATTTTGCCTTTTGGTACTTTGGAAAATAGCTTTATCTTCTCATCTTTGTAGAAGTCTCCCAAATATTGGAACAGTGATATCATGTCTCCACTAGTTCTTCTTTTTATTAGAAATGCAATCGCACTTAGACTTATATACAGCTCTCTCTAAGTAGTTTACAGGGCCAGCATATTGCCCCCAACAATCTGGGTCCTCATTTTACTGATGATGGCAGGCTGAGTCAACCTTGAGCCAGTGAGAATCGAACTGCTGTCAGGCAGCAGAATTAGCCTGCAGTACTGCATTCTAACTACTGCACCACCACGGCTCATTAGAGTAGAAATACCCAATTCCTGTAAGCATTCTTCATTTGTTTTAACCTCCAGGTTCCCTAATCATTTTTGTTGTTCTTCTCTGTACTGTTTCCAGAATCTTAACATCTTTTTTAAATTGTGGTGAATGACAAGAACAAGACAAGAATGACTGAGCTGCCTCACCTGTTGCTGCTCTTCTGGCTCCTGCTTTTTTGGACAATTTCTGGGGGTGAACGACAGTTAGGCACCCCCCCTCACCGCACCCCCCCCTCACCGCACAAACAACAGACAATGGCGGCGCTCTCTTCGACTAATCTAGCGACTACACTGATTCTTGCCCCCAGCCGTTCGCCCTGGTAAGCCTTTGGAGGTTTTTGATTACTATCGCCCCGGAGAAGAGGCTCTGAGCTGGACTGTTACCAGAGTTAGAGGAATCGGACGGCTGGCTTCCAGCGCCGCCACAGCCTTTCCGGGCGCCCCCCCCCCCCGCTTAGCCCGGCCTCTCACCAACGTTGTGGCGTTTTTTCAACTTTATCGGCCTTATCGGCGTTTTGACCTTAGTTTAAAGACCTAAAGGGGTTTGGGAGACCTGTGGGAACTGGTGCTTTGAAATCTGACACTTTGAAAATGGGAGAGAACTGCCTGGACTGCTGCCTCTTTTATCATCGCTGTTTTCTTCAGCAATACAGCCCCCTCCACCAGCACTGTTCCTCTTACCCACGCTGCCTTCTTCTCCAACGCTGCCTTTTCCATCAACACTGGTTTCCTGCCATTCTGGACTTTGACCATCTGACTTCCCTCACCTATATATTTAGGGCCTTTGAACCTGTTTTCTTAGCCCTAATTGTTGCCATCACTACTATCTCCCACGGCCTGTGGACTGCCAGTATTGCCATCTTTATTACCTCCCACTACGTCCCTTGGACTGCCAACTGGGATAGTGCCTATTTATTCCATCTAAGTCTCTTTAGTACGACGCTACGAACTGTGGTCGCTTGGAGGTATTTATGGCACGTGAGAAGGTTTACGCACATTTGCACAAGAGCCATATGCACCACTTGAACTCGCACCTTTTTAACAGCTGCGTAATCTTTCTTTTCCTTTCTTTTCTTCTCTTTCTCTTTCTTTCTTTCTTTTGTATGGGATATGCATGGGATACGCATGTGATTCAGTGAATGATCCCACTTTTATTACCTATAATTGCTGTATTTTTGTGTTTTTAATTACCACGTGGGGACTGCTTGGGTGAACGAATGAGTGTGTTTGATTTGGAGGACCTGTTGAGGAACG